CAATTGCTTGTTGCAGCTAAGGCATGTGTTCCCTTCGACTTGGTTTGGCATGTCGTCTGTTTGTGGGAGTTGGTTTGTGCGGTGTGCCTTCCAGTCTCGCATCGTCTTGGAAGTGTGGCCGTGTGCACATGTGTCCACAGCAGAGCGCCCGTGTGCGTGCACCACAAGCCCTGTACGTCACAGTGCCTGTGTATACCGTACATCCTGTGTGCAGCATCAACATCCCCACGAGGCCCAGAACATCGTGCGTAACCCGACAGTATCAATTCAGCATTCGAACTGTATGTGATTATGGATGCTTGCCTGGCCCAAAGCACGGTCCCCCGTTATATCAGGCCGATGCTGCCTGCGTGTACCACATAGCTTATGTGCACATCAGCGCCTATATACACTATGGTGTCTGTGCAATACAAATGCAGCAGCAGCATTCGTACGCCACGCGTGTGAACCAAAATTCATGTGTACACCACAATGATTGCGTGCGCCAACATTCCTGTGTACATTACGAATCCTGCTGCACCAGCATTTATATGCAACGCAGCGCTTGTGTACATCATAATGCATGTGTACACGCACCACAGCAGCCGCGTGCACCACAGAGCTCGTGTTCACCACAGTCTGTGAACACCACAAAGCCTGTGCTCACCACAAATGCTGCTGAAGCAGCAAGTGTGCACTACAACGCCCCAGTGCCTGTGCGCATCACAGTGCCTGTAGACACTGCCTGGCCGCCTCCAGAAGCCTCCAAAGGTCGTCGTCGTCGTCGTCATCGTCGTCGTCGTCGTCGCCGTCGTCGTCGTCGTCGTCGTCGTCGGCTCAAGCCAGTCCCAACCAGGATGATGCCGGGCCCTTCCCCCCACCCCCTGCGGGGGCAAATCAGGACGCTACAACAAGACTACTGTCGCAAGACTACTGTCGTTCTTGAAGGGTCTGCCTCTTCTCTCCTCGTCTCCCGGCGGTCGCAATCACGCGTGCTGCTCGCGGGCATAGCGTGATGCGCACAGGCGCGACGTCCGCTGCTCGACCCTATTCGCAACAACTCCCTACGCTGTGCCTACCTATGCAATGGAGATCCCTGCGTACATGCTGATCCCAACTGTCCTCAATTATTCCTACAACGTTCCCAAGCCCTGCGGGGGCAAACCGTTATGTCACCGCCCCCCCCACCCCACAACCCAGAATACACAAAAAAAGGCTCTTCCGCCTTCTTCGCCTCTCCATGCTCTCATCTCGCTCATCTTCAAGCAACATTGTAAGATCGCACCGAAAAGATGGATCGTGCAAGCACAGCATACTTTCAAAAGATGTGTGGGTGCGGGTGGGGGGAGGTACAGAGAGGGGAAGCTGGGCAGATCCTCAAGCCGCCTGCTCATCGCGCCTGCCCTTGGCGATACGTCGCACCTGCACGCGCTCGGCGCTGCCCGCACCGTAGTGCTATCGTGCGACCGTTGAGAACGCCAAGTTATAGGCCTGTTTTCCACCACCACCACCACCACCGGAAGTTGGAGGGGGAGGGGGTCCTCCTCCTCCTCCTCCTCCTGCACCACCTCCACCTCTTCCTCCTCCTCCTCCACCTCCTTCCTCCCTCCAGCTTATGGTGGTGGTGGTGGTGGTGGTGGAAACCAGACCCATCACCGAGTGAGGAAGGAGGCATCTTCTCTGGCCACAGCGAGCCCCGGGCCAAACACCAGAGAGCCCCTCCGGAGCCGAGAACTCGTCGTGTTTGGGGCGTGTCCACTGCGCCTGGGCGATCGTCCCTCCTCCACCTCCTCCTGATCCCCCCTGGACGTCAGGAGGCACAGGCATCCGTTCGAGGGTCCTTTTTCCCTCAAGAGGGGGTGCCTGTTTTTTCTCTTAAGGTCGGGACGGTGTCTTAAGCGGTATACACGCCGCCCGTCCCAGGCCTTCAAGGACGGAGCACGGTGAACCCCAAGCCCCGCGTTGAACATTAACAACTCCTCCTGATCGGACCCCTCGCCATCGCTGGGACGTCCATCCCCAATGTGCATGCCTCGATGCCGTGCGTGCATTCTCACCTAGATATAGCCCCGACAGGCTCCTCGGTGGTCCTCGCCGAGAAAACTGCAGGCACTCGCCCGATCAGTGCCAGGCCACGTGCTGCGGCTGCAGCTGCTGCCGCAGCCGCTGCTGCCGCCACCGCAGCGCCCACTTCCGCCCCATGGCCCCTCTCTGCCCGCTTGAGGCTCCCCCTCCGCCCGCCCGCGCGCCCGCTCCTCCTCGCCCTCGTCCCGCCTCGGGCCTCCTCTCTGCGCCGAGTCGTAGCATGCTGGACCCGGGTGAGGGGTCCAATGGGAGGATGCCAAGCCTCCACTAGCTCGATGGGAAGCTTGGTCGAGCCTTCCCTCGACAGCTTGGTCGAGCCAGGCGGCTTCGGGTGGGAGCTTGCTTGCAGGCCGCACAGCATGTGGACGGGTGGGGTGGGGTGGCAGGATGGTGCATGGTGGCAGCGTGTCCCAGCGCTGGCCATCCACCTCGAGAAGGACGATCAAGCCGCATCAGCTGGCATGGCTCGTCTTGTTGCCTGTGGGTGGAATTGCACCGAGGCTATGCGATTATCCGCAGGATATTGGCCAGACGATGTGCGCCAGCGCTGTAAGAGATCTCCTGAGTCAAGCGTGCCACGTTGCTGGGAGTGCCCTTGCACCTGCTTTGGTCGCGCGTGGGCCCGAGCGGTGGGTATCGAGCCGCCAGATAAGGCGGTTGCAGTCACCAACCACCTCGCTCCACAAGCCCTCTCGGAGGTTGAGAACTCTGATAAGGCGGTTGCAGTCACCAACCACCTCGCTCCACAAGCCCTCTCGGGGGGCTGAGAACTCCCCATATTTCCCCAATCAGAGCTTGCCTCTGTATGGGTCCCAGCGGATTCATGCGGTTATAGATGAACTTCGTCGCCGATCTCGGTGGCCATCCCGGGGGCCCGGCTGCCCGGGTGCCTGCAGGGGTGCCCGGGGCTGCCCGGGCGCTCGGGGGTGCCCGGGGGTGCACGGAGGTGCCCCGGGTGCCTGGATGCTCTATCGCCATATAGCCCTGTAGCCTGTAGCCCAAATATCCCTATAGCCTTATGGCCCTATAGACTCATCGCCTTATAGCCTCATAGCCTTCGAGCCATATAGCCCCTTAGCCCTAGAGCCCTATTACTATAGACCTATAGCCCCAAAGCCTTATAGCCCTATTGCCCTATAACCCTATATAGCCCCGCTAGAGTGGCTAGAGTTGCACCGCCTCCAGAGTCCAGGGTGCTGGAGCGGCCAGGGTGCGGGAGTGGCCTCTGCCAGGAAGGGCCTTTGCTGCTGATGGGGCCTGAGGCCAATGGTCCAGCCAGCCGATGCTTCGCCGCGTTGTTTGGATTTTTGTCCGTGATGTTGGGCAGTGGACAATGGTCCCTGTAATAAACCTCCCTTTAGTGAGAACGGCCTACGACCGAAACCGACGGACCTGGACCCGCGAAAATGACTGCCGCGGGGCCCTCTCGCGAACCGAAAACGGCCAATTTGCTAATCGACGTGTCAGGGAAGGAGATCTATCAACCTCCGAGATATCTGTCTCGGACCAAGACTGGGACTCCGCTTGCACTGGCCTTGTGGACAGGCCCAAGCAAACAACTCCTCGTGCTGAGCTGCTTGGATTGGTGGAACATCTTGCGCTGTCCGTCGAGGCGACGATCCAACAGTTTAGTCCGATCACGTGAATCATGCCCGAGCGTATGGGTGGGGAATGGCGCACTGTGTGAAGCTGGAAAGCGCAAATCTTTAGTACGACTTCTGGTGCCTGAGCTCCACGCGTTCTGGCCAACTCACCCCTTTGCACGTGCCTTCCCATACCGCCGAAAATGATGCCGATTTCGTTCGCTTTGCTTCTAGTGTGTCTGCCGGGGCGATCTACGCCAATAAGTTGGCGGACGGTTTGGCTGACGAGTGAGTGGATCGCGCCTTGAAGATGATTTTGGAGCAAGCCGAAGACATTATGGCGGCCGCTGCGGTTCCACTGGACCCTGGCCGAGGCATCAAGTGCGACTCTGTTTCGACGGCATCCAAGAAGGCCACGTTCCTGCGAGAAGCTGAGCCTCCACCCACTGCTGGAAGATGTTTCCACGGGGATAGAGCTGTAGGCTGTGTGGTAAGGTGGTCGCGCGTGGCCAAACAAGAATCCTCCCCAAGCTCGGCTCCAGGTGTGCTGCCAGGAAGTTGCCGGAGCCTGAGCCCCCATCTTGGGCTGGCGGACCTGTTCAACGAGCTTTTGGTCGCTTGCCTCGAGTACTCGTGTCGTCTAGCCCTTCGACGAGCAGCCTTCTCGCTCGATGCAGCGGTCGGACTCCCCTTCCGGGTCCGACGGCCTCGGATGGAGAGGTCACGTCCCGCACAGTTCGCATCAACTGTAGCAGAAAGGGTCATCTGTTTTCTGCGGCTCCTGTGGCCGTTACGCCGATGCTGCTTCGAGGAAGTTGTTGGAGGAGTGTGAGTCGGTCCGCTTCGACCGTAACTCGGTGGCCAAGGTCCAAGGCACTGCCAGCATGCGGGTAAGGCAGCGTCTTCCTCCCCGTGCCTGAGTCAGGGAGTGGGGAGCGGCGCCATAGGTCAAGACCGAAACGTGGGCGCAATGTTGGTCCGCTGATTTCTCCTGGGCTGTCCGCGGAGGTTTTCCAGCATGATGCCTCGTCACTCTCCCAGGGGATGCTCGAGTGTGCATTCTATACCTGTCGGTCCTACTGGTGGATTCAAGCCTGCCCGCTAATCCTCGACTCTGCCTTGAACTCAGCATGGTAGCGGTCCCTAGCAAAGTAAAGCTCCGTGGCTGCTGCCGGTCCTAGTCGCCGCTCCTCCTTCTCCTCCTCCTCCTCCCCCTTCCCCTCCTCTCCTGCTCCAGACCCCCAATGGACCCCCGAAAGGGGCGGGGGCCGTACAGTTTTGGTCTTCGATCATCGCCTCCCCGCCCCCTCTTCTGCCCACTCCGCTCCAACTGCACCTCTGGCGCCCCCGTGCCTGCTCCGGAACGCAGCTGAACCGCCGAGACCACGGCCGCCACGGCGTAGTCGACCGCAGTTTTCAGCTCCTGCCCCCCCCCCCAGCCGCCTCGTTATTCCAACGGTGGGTCAAGCCTTTCTGGCTTCTGTCCTCGTTCGTTTCCTCGTTTCCTTGTGTCATCCTTGTCCTGTTTTCCTCCTTCCACACCCTGTTCACTCTGAGGCCCCCACTTCAACTCCACATGCTCATGACGCTATTGTTGCTACCGCTCCACTTGCTGCCGCTCCTTCTGCTCGTCCTTCTCCACTGAGAGGGATATGACCCCACCATGCTGAGCACGGGCGAATGAGGAGGAGGGGGAAGGAGGAGGACAACGCCCTCCTATTCCTTCCTCCTCCCTACAGACAAAAAACAAAGGATGTGGAGGACGGGGAGTGGGGAAGGGGTCACGAGGGATATGGAAGGAGAGGGGACGAAGAGGAGAGGCCGACTCGCTCCGCACGTGAAAAGAAGGAGGAACAACAATCCATACCTTCAGCGGAGTTGTTCCTGTTTGTTTGCTTCAACCCGAAGCCCCCCAAACGTATTGACCCCTTCCCCAGGGCGGGCTGCTTGTGCCAAATCATGTTCGGATGGTCCCGGGGCCGAAAATGTCACCCAAAAACCAGAATAAGGAAATTAGAACTGGATCCGCCGGAAATCTGGGTCTCATGGGGAAACCAACAAATACCGATACCGCCAGTCCCTGGACCTCTCTCGGGGTGCGGTCTGGCCAGAATGTCAGGGCGAATCCAGCGGTGGCGACAAGGGCCTCCCTGGAACCCGACCAAGAAAACGAGGCCAGGGTAGCGGTATGGGTACCTTTCCCTCCTCTGATTTCAGATGTGCGGAGGTCCCAGCATCGGCCTTGCCCTGGCCCCCCAGCGGCGCGCGCCCGCGGCCCGCGGCCAGGGGGGTGCACCGGCCAGGGGCTCTGGGGCCTCCTCTCTGGGCCAACCAGGGAGAGACCTGCAGGAGATGGCGGGGCACCTGGTGAACGCCCGGGACCTGGCGGGCGTGCTCTCGAGCAGTTGAATGCAGTCCTGGGGTAAGACCCGGGCTGCGCATTCCAAACAATCCAGCAAACGTTTGAAACTATGTACGCCACCCCCCTTCGGGGCCAACAGCCTGCGCGGGCTAGGCTGTCCTGTTCCCGGCGCATGACCAATTTCCAGCGTGCGATAATATATGTTTGTTGCTCTAGTTTCACAGCTGCAATTCTGGAGCACCGCGGGAAGGCCACTATGGCTGGGATACTTTGTTGGACTCGTCCGCAGTGGTGCGAAACAAAATTGCCCAGGTATGTCGATACCATTCGATGGTAATCATTGCCACCATTTCCATTGACAGTGAGTTTCCATCCGCCAGCCACTCATGGAGCAAGATATGGCAGTAACCACTGTAAACAAGAAACCAGTTGAGCACGTAGTCGCAGCATGCCATTGAAGTTGATTTCGGGAAGTAGTGTTGCCATGACACCATAGCCCGACCCTAGCAGAAGGCAAGCGCACCTATCACAGACAGGTGGCCCGAACTCTCCCACGCGTCGCGTCCACCAGGGTCACGACGCACGAGAGGCAAGCGCAGCCGTTGCCGACAGCTGGCCAGAACTCCCTTGCGGGGTGCTCTCGTGCATCCAGGCCACAAGAGAGGCAGGCACAGTCGTCGCCAACGACTGGCCAGAACTCCCTCATGTGACGCTCGCCTTTGGCCTGTGGGCCCCATCCTGCTCCTAGGGTAGCCAGTGCATCGAATCGACAATGCCCGCCAGCCTCCCTCGTACATGTTGTGGAGCGCGGGGCCCCCCTCTTCAGAAGGCAGGCGCACTCATCACCGACGAGTGGCCAGACCTCCCTCACGGGGCACTTCTGGAGAAAGAGGGGGGCCCGAAACAGAGGTAGAGGTAGACTCGGTAGCCAGTGCATCATAAGGAAGTACCCACCAACTATCAGGAAAGAGTGTACTATCTGAGGAAGATGACATAGTCGCGCTTCTCACTCACCACGTGCCAGCGTCTGCCTTGACGAAAGACCGCGCTGACCCCATGTATGGTATTATCCCGTGCGATGTACATCACTGCGCGCGTTGTAGATGAGAATGCCAATCAACTATACGGGGCACGTGGCCAAGATGAAGAGGTTGGCATGCTTCATCCCTTGCGTCTCTTTACAGATGGTGCAAGTCATGTTCCCGCCAGCGTCGACCTCGGAGATGTGACTCTGGGGCGTCTGTCTTGCGTTGTGCTCCTGGACGCGCGCGGTCACGATGGCTGGGGTAAGGCGTCTGACTCTGCCCTTCGCCTCCTTCTTGCCTGTGCAAATTTCCCTGGTCCATCGGCCGGAACAACGATGAAGCTGCTCTGTGCAACGCGTGATGCACTTGATCCGCGGAGCTTTGCACCACTTCGTTGGTGCCAGGATGTGACATCCATGCTCCGCCGCCGTCCTGTTGAGTAGAAGTCTTTGTTCTTATGCATGCAAGGCGTGACCTTTCAAGCCGTGGAGCGCGGCCTTCTCCTGCGATACCCATGTCGTCTCAGCCGCTGTAGCAAGAATAGGTGCAGCTTTCTTTGGTTTTGTGCTCTTGGACGCAACCGCCACCAGAGCCAAGCGCAAGGTATCAGCCGATTTCGGGGAGTCCAACTTCGGCGGTTGCCAGAGCGGCTTGGGAATGTGCCCCCACATTAGTACAATTGCTGCAGAGAGCCACCTCGTCGTAGCAGTCATAGCCGTCTTGAAGATTTCTGGCATGGTGGCACCATGGGACAAAAACTTGGGTCTGCACATAAAACTAGCTCCAACTCGCATACCGAGTGGTACAGCTCATCGTGCAGTTTTATATCCAGTACGTCGTGCCAGTGGGGCATTGCACAAGACAGACATCCTCACGGCCGCAGTACAGAATCATCTCGCAAGTCTTCACCACGTGACGTTCTCGTGGTCCTCGCTCGGAAGACATGGGGGGATAGCCGCCACAATAATGAAGCCAATAGGTAAGTCCATCCAAGTCACGTTCTGTGGGCATTGCCTCGCATCGCCGCAACTCCATTCCAAAAATGCGTAAACTAACATACCAGTGCAGGAAGCGAATGCTGTTGGCACTTCCATTCGTCAGCTTTGATGTGCGTGGGTATCTCTGGGGTACATTTCCAAGGGATGCCTCCGTTTCCAGCCGCTGTCAAGACCACTGGATCCCACTCGTAACCAGGGAAGGTATCTTCCGGCGACCATTCCAATGGGTTTGCAACAAGTTTGGGTCACCGTGCTCGTCGACGTCGCTGGCGCCTCATCTCCTGCTGTCTGGTGCAGAGGTGTGGGCTACTTGCCCTTGAGGCGCCATCTCACCGAGGCCGCAGTGGGTGGTATGCTCGACGTTCGTGCTCTCTGAGGCGTTGGTGCGTTGGGGGGAACCTTTTGGGCGGCTCTTGTGAGCGGCAGTCTTAGGGCCGTTTTGATCTTTCTCGGACGGTCTGGATGCCTCAGGCGGGAGCGGGGGTCCTGGCTAAATTGCGAATAGGCCTCAGGCGGGAGCCGTTGTTGTTGTAACCCGGGTGCCAACTACACAGTTTGAGCTTCAAGACTTTCCCCTGATACAAAAAAACAGGGTGCGAGCGCCGGGAAGGCACTTCAATTGAAACAGTACAATGCGCACCGGAGGTGGGATCAACAATAATTATTCGTCAGTAGAGAGAGTTCAACAACAGCAACAACAACAACAACAACAAAAACAACAACGCAACCAGCAAAACCCTCACCACGGATCCCCACTTCAGCCACGCACCCAGGGACAAGAGACAATGAATGACCGTTCGGCCCCCTCACTCGGATAAAGCTTAGCAAGGGGCCCGTTCCAGTGAACAGCTCCCGACCACTTCCCTCAGGGTATGCTTGCGCCCCGGAGCATTGATCGATGGTCCCATGCCGAAAAAGGCCCCTGGATGCTGGAATCTGGCCCAAACCGCAGCGAGTGAACAAAACCTACGTCGTCGGAGGTTCGAGGCACCACCCCCTCCCCCGATCCGGCGGCGGCGGCTTCGTGGACGGGTGAGACTGGGTGCGGCTGTTGCTGGACTGCGTGCCGGCCAGGAGGCGCGAGCCGGGCGACGCCGTCCGCCTGCGGGTCGTGCGGGGCCTCCTCCTCTTTCTCTTCTCTCTCTCTTCTCTTTCTCTCTCTCTCTCTTTCTCTCTCTCTCTCTCTCTTCTCTCTCTCCTCTCTCTCTTCATCCTCCTCCACCTCTTCCACAATCCTCCTCCTTTCTCCTCATCATCATCCTTCCCTTTCGCTGTCCAGTTCACTTCCTCCTCCATCCTCCCCCCATCACCCAGCGCATGCTCTTGGCTGCCTTTCGAACTTTGAACCCGCCCTCCGTTTCCGCCTGGCGCTGGCGGGGGTCCCGGCCACAAGGGAGACGGATATGTTGCTCACGACCAGCTCGTCCACGAATATCTGCCCGTTACACCCTTCCTCCTCCTACAACTCCTCCTCCTCATCCTTGTCTACCTCTTCCTTCTCCACCTCCCCCTCTCCCTCAACATGACCCATCCTCCTTCGGTCTCGTCGCTGTCGTCGCCCTCCTCATCATCTCTTCCATTCCCCTCTTCCTACCTACCCTCCTCATCCTGCTCACAACGACGCCCTCTCTTTTCGTTTTCATTATCAATCCCCCTTTGTATATTCACCAAAAAATTTGGAGGCCTGAGAGCAGGCAGGTGTGCAACCGTCCGAGCGGGATCCTGCCGCCGAGAGGCCATCGTGGCCCTCCCTCGCTCCGCCTCCGTCTCCTGCTCCGCCTCGGAACTTCTTTGCTTCAGACCCGACACCGTGGACCTTCCGCAAACATTCGGCAGCCGAGGATTCTGCGCAAGTCGATTTCTTCAGCGATGCTCCTCGGTCTCCTCTCCTGCAAATTGCGCGGGGCGTCGGCGCATAAGGCTGCACGGGGCACCCTGGCTGAATGTGACGGCCCACGCCAACCGAGTCTCAATACGCACTGCTCGAGGTCACGCCGTGGCCTGTTTAGCGGCCGCAATTTAGGAGGGGCTATCATCGGCTTCACCTTCGGGCCGTCGGTTGCAATTAACTCCCCCCCCCGAAAGGCCTTCTGCTATCTACGCAGGCCTGAGTGCGCCCACTGGGTGGCGCTAGCGTCCTTTCAACCCCCCCGAAGGGCATCCTGGCACTCGCCACCTACGCTCGCCCACGTGGGCGCGAGGCAAGAAAAAACGCAACGCTGCCGCGATGCCGCGTCGGCGCCCGGCTGGGTGCCAATAGGCGCCGCGCAACTCAATGCAAATCGCTAGCGGGCTTGCCAGTTCAGCCGAAACAGGCAAAACGGAAAAGAAGGCGGGCTCGGGGCAACCCTGGCACCGCCAACAGAGCGAGGGTAGAGGTAGCCAACACCTCCTCCAATACACATGGGCAGGAAGAGCGCCGCACCGCGTCGGCGGTCCCGAGGCCTGCAGCTTCTGGAGCTGGTGGCACCAGGCTGGCACTCGTGAGGAGAAGGGCTCGGTTCTGAACCCCGCAGACGCGATGCTTCAGCATAGGGAGCTGACGACGCCCTTGCACTTGCCGATGATGCACGGAATCGCACTCTTCGTAGGCGTCGTAAGTCTTACTCTTGCCCGCGCCTTTGATTTTCAACATGGTTTGGTTAGTCTTGGTCTCCGTCGGGGCCTGCGCCTTCGTGAAGTGCACCATGTTGACGAACCACTCGTATTCGGTAGACTCGCGCACTTAGGAAGGGCCCGCCATGCACGCCAGGAGCACGACCTTCCTTGCCTTGTCGACCTGCACGGCGATGCATCGCCGAGGGATCGGGAATAAGTCCCTGACAACAGCACCGCACGTTTCTGGGCTGGGTGGGGCACCCCAGCCCTGATCGGCGAGGCAAGGGCGATCGGGGTTCGATGTTGCCCACCCTGAACCCATCTTCCTTTCGTTGCCCCTGACCGCCATCCCCCTACCGCTCGGGGGCGGCCAACGAGGGGGCGCCCAAGAGGGGGGGGTGCGAATCGTGGCTGGCGGCGCGTGCGCGGCCAAAGGGGGGGGGGGGGGCAGGGACGTCATGCAATAAGAAGAGGCGCAATACAATCTGGGGAGATATCATGGCCCACGCCATGATCCCCCCCCTAGTCGTCAACCCCGTCTTTGCCGCCCCCGCCCCGCCGCCGCAACGCTCTGTGGGGCGACTCCGGCCGGATTCCTCCGGACCCCGTCGGGTCTCCCCTCGGAGCCCGCCCGCCCTCCGCCGCCTCTCCCCGCCGCCGCCGCCGGTTCCTCCTCCTCCTCCCCCCCTCCCCTCCTCCTCCTCCTCCTCCTCCTCCTCCTCCTCCTCCTCCTCCTCCTCCTCCTCCTCCTTGTTTCTCCAGTTTCTCCATCAGCCGAGGATCCGCGGTGCCGAGGCGGCGCAGACCCTAGGCCAGACAAGGGGGGGGAAGAGAAAAAGAGAGAAGAGGGACCCTGACCGAGGCGGTGCCCCCCCCCCTGCCTGGGCCGCCGCTGAGGGGACCCGAAGTCATCCTTCAGTGGTGGCCCTGGCAGGGGAGCCATCGCCTCGGTGAGGCTCCTGCGGGGGCCCCTCATGACACGAAGCCTCGAACGAGGATGGGGGTGTCGCCTCCGCCAGGCGGCTAACCCCTCTCTCGATCCAAAGTGGGACGCTGCGGCCGAAACTCGCATGATTGGTGGGGTCCACGCCCCGCCGCAGCATCTCCAGAGACTTACCTGTAGCGTCATTTCCGGGCCTCCCAAAACACACTTCAGCCAACAAATTCATTCGGTGCCTGGCATAGCTGCCGCACCTGGAACACCAAATGATCGGGGGGGCAACACCAGGATCACCTCCCCACAACCGATGCGAGCGGTGAGCCTGGCGACAAATCCTGGGCGAACCAGAACACTTGAAACTGGCCAGGTGCGTCCAGCTCCGCCCTCGGTCGAGACAAATCGCACGCGGCCACCCCTTCCCCCACCGCCCCAAGACGTGCCCATTGGGGTCAGGGCAGAGGATGAGCTGGGCCCCTGGAGGGCGGGGCTTCTTGGCCACAACTTTAGAAACATTGCGAAACTTTGGCCTGCCAGCAACCTCGAGCATGGCTCCTGTGAAGCGGCCAAGAACCTGCAGGCGCTGCCTTTGCTCAATGAACTGGTCGCGGAGGGCCACTGGAATGGGGATGTCATTGGCTGCTCTCTTGGCAGCAAGATCCGCAACTCGGTTCCCTTTCCAAGCCCAAAACGGCACACCCATGGAAAGAGCCTTGGGCCAGGTCTTATGGGCGGGAACATGGAAAACTCGAAACGAATCGCCACGGCCCCTCCGCCTGAAGCTAATTTCTTCCCAAAGCTCCGCAAAGGGCAGGTTAGAGACATCAGCTTCCGCCCCTCGGTCCCAGGTCAAGACAGCGGACAGGGAATCGCAACCAAGCTCAACATCGCCTGGGCCCGGGAGGCGGAGAGCCATGAGAATGGCGAACACCTCAGCGCCACACATAGAATGCAGCGCGCGCGGGAGAGGACCACTGGCCGAGCCTAGAACATTTCCCCCTCCGTCCAGCATCACAACCGCCCAGGCAGCGACCGTGAAGAGAGGAAGGTCAGGCAAAAGAGCAGACTCATCAGAGCACACGCGGCCTAGCACTTCGCCTCCTGGCGGGCAGACGCCCCACCTCCAGGCACCTGCGATCTGGAGGCGAGGGGTGAACCTGATGGGGGCAGGGAAAGGGCAGCGGGAGAGGCAAGGATCCTCATCCTCCACACTCCTCCAACCCCGCAGCTCCTCATCAAAACCGAGCTTGCTGCGACCCTCGCGCGGCCCATCACAGACAAAGAGGCGGTGCTGTGAGGTCCCGCGGGCTCCAAGACACAGCTGGCACCTCTGGTTGATAACCCGACGGTCTCGATACAGAACAGACTGGGTGACAAGGCCCCCTGCAACGTGCGCGGCAAGGAGGCTGGCCTGGAGACAGCCCCCTCTGCGACGTAGAGAAGCGCACGCCTCACTTACTGCATCGAGCTGGGGATGTGAGAACTCCTGGCCCTGATGGCTCCACCGCAACCGCCCTGACAACTGATCTTCGGTGCCACGGTCGACGAAAGTCTGCGAAGAAACCTTTCGGACCTTCTCGAGGTCTAAAGACAGGCCCGAGGGAAGAGACCAGACGCGGAAGCTCTGGGGGGCCCGCCCGGACCTCCGAAGCGTCATGATCACAGCTCCCGTAGGTCCCTTCACCGCAGACCACGTGCATTCATTTGCGCGGAAGCGCTCCGATAGTAAATCGAACGTTGAGCGCATCGCCTCCCTAGACGCCCACCCCTGCCAAAAGGCTTTCCCCCATGCGAGGGGCGGCGGGGAGTTGCCCACAAAGGCTGGGTCGGCTTCGGGCGCAGGCGAAAGCCAGAACTGAATAGTTCGAGAGCGGCCTCTGGCAGGTCCAAAGAGCCCCTGGGCGACCGCGCACCTAAGCCTCGAGAGGAGCCTGCTAGAGATCCCAACCACGCTGACCCCATGCGAGCCTGCTGGGGGGGGGGGGGGCGCCCACTTTGGAGATCATTGTGGGCCTGCGAAATTGACCCCTCAGAGACCTAAAGCGGCCCGCGCGGGCCCTCACCTTGCGAACGCGGCCAGCCTGGACCTGAACCCGACGACGGCCTCCTTGCGTGTAGTCAGTACCCAGGTTCTTCACATGATGCGAGGACCGAAAATGCCACTTTTTGAAACCCGCAACAATCTTGTCGGCGATGTCCGACGTGGTGGCCGTCACGGGGCCCTTGGTCGTGGGGGTGATGGGCCTACGGGCCTCGAGCATACGGCGCAGCGTGATGGTGACCGCCAGACCTCCCATGACCACCAGAGCTGTCGCGCCGATCGTCTGAGCCGCAATGTCGCCCACCACGTTAAACAGACGTGTGCGAGGGGACCACCTGGCACAACAATCGAGAACATCCAGCATCACCACCTGGAGAAGAGTGGCGGCAAAGCCGCAACCAGCGATGATGGTGGACAGGATCCTTACAGGGCGCGACACTCGCTTACCTAGCAGGAGACTCAGCTGTGCACGATACACTTTCAGACACAACCGAATATGAAAAAGCGGAAACCCATGCCTCTGTGCCGCGATTATCAGGTCCCTGTGTTGGACCTTCTCGTAGGCCTTAACCAAATCCAACAAGGTGTTTGTCGCGAGCCTCTCCGTCAGCGCGGCATTCTCACTGGCGAACGACTGCTCCCGGACGGCCCTTTCGCAAGACTTGCCCCTGGTCCCGTAGGTGTAGCTCCGAGAATGTTCAGCTTCCCAAAGACGGACCACCTCCCTGGAACAACGGGCCCAGACACGCGCCACCATGCTGAGGGGCCCTATGAGCCGCGTGTCCCCTTCGGGTTTCGGGAGGGAGGGCATGGGGGCGAGGCCGATCTGCGCGGGCAACGCTCCCAGGGCCAACATCCAGTTCCACAGCAAGTTGAGAGCCTCGAGGCACTTGTCCGAGGCCACGCAGAAATCCCCGGGGCCCAGGCGATCGACCCCGCGCGACGTCCAGCACTTGATATTCCGCGCAACCTTACGAATGAACTCGAGCCCGTGCTGCAGCACAGGACACCTCTGGGACTCCAGGAACGACGACAGCTCACGCATACATGCCTCTGGGTCATCGTCGGCCTCGGGGCAAGACCAGACCTCCCCCCAATCCTTGAGAACGCGCTCCAGCTCCTCCTCTGGGCCTGGGGGGGGGGGGGGGGCTCGCCGCGCTTGGCCTGGATCGGCCTCCAGCCCGCAGCAAGGCGGGTGAACCTGTGGGCCTTGCCGCCACCGTTGGCGACTGCCTCCTTCACGTACAGACGCCACTCAGCGGACCGACGACAAGCGAACTCCTTCTCGCAACGGGTGGCCTCCTTCTTTGCGGGGTTGGCAAAGTCAAAGAGGCCGACGGATGGCATGCTGCTCCAATCTGCGGCGGAGAGAGAAAAAGCGGCCCAGGCTGGAGAGTCTTTGATCGCCTTTGGCCCCGTGCTGATCTTAGCGAGAAGGGAGGCGAGCACGAGAGGCCTCCTGCACGCATCCTGGGACTGGACGTGGCCGAGCTCGCGGAGCCAATTGGCCACTCGCCTCCAGCCCAACGCCTCCTGGCTAGCAACAGGGCGCGGGCCTGGCGCTGGAGCGAATCCAGGGAGACGCTTATACTTCCAGCCTAAGCCCCTTCCTCGAAACCTATCCTGCTGCTCCTCTGGGATCCCGTGGACCCCGATAAGCTCATCCCCCATGCGCCCGACAAACTTCCCAAAGGCCCGGTTAAAGCTGCGCTGGCCCCCCCTGCTTCTCGAGAGCCTCCAAGACATCAGACCAATCTGGCGGGACAGGATAGGGGCCAATTGGAATCTCCTGCGGAAGCTTGCGAGGGCCAGCATGGGCCAGAATCGTTGTCGGCACAGCACGGGCAGCAAGACGGATCCCCACGGGCCTGTGCGGGGCCAGGAAGGAGTTGACCGCCACGGAGCACCCCTTGACGGACGGCATGAGGACATCCGAGACGACAAAGTAGTCCAAGATACGCCCCTTGCCTGACCGACACGTGACCTCACGTGGCGCAACAACCCGAGCCCGAACCCGACTCGGCCAGCCCATGGACGCCAGTTCCGAGGGTGTCGTATTCCAGTCGCCCCCACAAAAAAGGGCGTCCGAATAGTATGGAACAGCTCGCCCAAGCGCACAAGCAGGTGGGCCCCTTCGGGCCCGAAGGGAGCCTCGGTAGGTAGGTACACGGATGCTAACCAGAAGCCCCCTGGGACCAGGGCATTGACCCACTTGACGATGAGGCGATGCGGCGATGGAAGAGGTTGCTTGGGCATCGGACCTTCGCCCACGCCGACGTGCTGAGGCACACCCACTCCGACGCCTCCTGACAGGCCGCCAAGCTCGGTGACTCGGCTAGCCTGCACTGCAACAAAAAACTTCTGGTCCCTCAGCTGCTTCTCGCACTGGGTCCGATCATCCGGGTGCACGCCGAACTCCTGCAGGCACAGCAACTGCACAGGCCGATCTGCAAGCATCCGTGTCCGACGGACGGTACTCGGCCCGTTGACGAACATAAGCAAGGGCGGACTTCCAGGCAGTCGTGTTGGCGGTCCAAACCACTAAATCTCCGTTCGGCTTGGACTTCTTCTTCGGGAGCCGCGGCGCACCAGCTGGAATAGTCCACACTCCTTCCCCCTCACACGTCTCTCTGCCCCCAGCGGTCGGTACTTCACCAACCTCTGCGCCCGCAAGGCTGGCAGGGGGATCCATGCGTGCCTCATCGGTCGGTACTTCACCCCCTGCTGCGCCCGCAAGGCGAGGTGGATCCGTGCGTGCCGCTGGGGCGAAAGGCCGTGCAACTGGAAGGGATATGGATGGGACCGGGGATAGGGATACATCCAGACAAAAACCTGCCACTGACGAGGACGGAGTAGCCGCAAACGTATCCGTCGAACTTCGCCAAACCCGCGTTGATGCCGACACCGACCCAGACAGCCCCAACCCGAGTACGCGGTGACGTAGCGCTGGCTCTCCATGGGGTGTTTTCTGCCAGGCCTGTCTCGGGACGCGCGCCGTGCCAGCACGGGGTCACCGAAACAGGCGTGGTGAGTGAGCACCCAAGCGCCCGTGGACCCGTGGTCGCCGAAACCGCCTCCTCCTCCGCCTCCTCCTCCTCCTCCTCCTCCTCCTCCTCCTCCTCCTCTTCCTCCTCCTCCTCCCCCTCCTCCTCCCCCTCCTCCTCCCCGCCGCCGCCGCCGCCCCGTCGTCGCGAGCCGTCGGTCGCGTTGCTGCTGCTCGCCCTCGTCGCCAAGCGCCCCCTGGCAGGCCCGGCCCAGGCTGGACCTCTTCGGTGCACTCGTCCTCGACGGCCTTGGCCAACACCTCCGCTCGCGGCGCGGCGAAGCCCTCCCCTCCCTTCCCCACGCTCCCCCCTCTCTATCTCGTGCACAGGAGGAGAGGGGGGGGGGAGACAACCTGGGTGCGCTCGCGTCATGTCTGACGTCCTAACCCCCATTCCTCCCATCCCTTACCATGAGGTAGATATCCTCTCTGTTCGCAATCGGATGTCGAACAGGGCAGTGATCCCGAGAGGGTACGCGATGCATCGCATTGCACGGCATGGCAGGGCGTAGAAGAGCGCGCCTGAGCGTAGTATGTCCTAGCACGGCGTGGCGCAGTGAAGAATTGCATCACAAAGCATTGCAACGCAATGAAGGGCATCGCGCAGCGGCACACAAGAGAACATGGCATAGCATGGCGTCGCGTGGCATACCGTGGCACTGCGCAGTCAAGCGTCGCATATCCTGGCATTGTAACTGAAGGCGTGGCGTCGCCCAGCGGAAACCCACATGGCATTGCGTTGCACGCCGTGACATGACACTGACGAGGCCAGCGCTGCGGAGGGAGCACGATTCGGAGCGAGCGGAAGCGCGGAGATGAGGCCAGCGCTGCAGCGGGAACACGATTCGG